CTCGCCCTTAGGAGCGGCGGCGGCCTCCCCAGTCGGAGCGGCAGACGTTAGTCCTGGCACAGCTCCGTCTGGGGTGTTCCTGGGAGGTTCCCCCGGAACATTTGATCCTTTAGTCTTCGATGGCCCCTTCGCCGACGCCGCCGCTGCGGTATCCACCACGAATGCAGGATAGGCCCTCGCAGGGCCACTGGCTGGAGAAAAGTCCGGCTTCTCGCAGCGGCGCGCGTAGAGGTTGAGGCGCACGATGCGGTCGTTCTTCGCGATGAAGTGGATGGTTGCCGGCGGCGCCAGGTAATCCCTAAAGATGTCCTGACGCGGATACCAGCTGCAGAAGATCTCATCCATCTCCTCCGGCGTGAACGGCAGCTCCTTATCCTCGCGCCGCTGATCGTTATCGTCCTCGCTGGCCTCATCCTCCTCGCTGGCCTCGTCCTCCTTCTTCACCTCGGCCTCCTTCTTCACTTCCCTGCTGCTTCTTGCCTTCTTCCTCTCTTTCTTCTCTTCTGTACTGCTCCTCGCCTTCTTCTTCTCTTTCTTCTCTTCCTTCTCTTCCTTCTCGCCGCGGCCTTCCGGTGCACTCCGCTTCTCTTCCTTCTCACCGCGGCCTTCCGGTGTACTCCGCGACCTCGAACGCGAGGAGGCCTCCGCCTCGGGCGGAGGAGGGGCACGATGCTCACGGAGAACAACTCCCCGATCGCGGTGGCGGTCGTCACGACGATCTCGATGACGATCTTCACGACGCTTGGTGTCGCGATTCCCGCCTTCGCCGCGCCGATCGCCACGGGGCTTGGTATCGCGATTTCCGCCCATCACGATCTTGAACATAGTTGCCGTGATCTCGTCGAGATCCACCTCGGCCGCCGTACAAGGCTTCGACGTGGTCAGCTGCAGACGCATGAGCCGACCCTGGACGAAGTCGAGTGCCTCGAAGCGGCCTTGCTTGAAGAAGATGGGCTTCTTGTTCGTCACACGCTCCACGATGTGATGAACCGTGGCAAGGTCAGGAAACTCCAACTCCACGCTGCGCCCCTTTGGGTGGGCGTTGGCCAGGATGCGACGGCAACGCACGCATGCATCCTCGTCCTCCTGATCCCCCCCGCGCCTGGCAAGGGCGCGCGCACGTTCATCGCTGCCCTGTGCGGGCCCGGGGCCATCGTCGGCGTCCCGGCGTAGACTTGGCGCAGGCATGCTCTTGGGTCGAGGATTCATGACGATCCGCCCTGGAGCATCGGCTCGGCCCTCCACCGGATGCCTCTGGGCAGGCACCGACTGGGGAGCGCGGCGCCATGGGGCGCGGCCACGACGCTCCTCGGCACTGCCTGCCATGCCAACCCAGTGGATGACCGGTCCATGCACCTGCCTTGGAGCCGGCGGCTTCACAGAGCTCCGCTGGTTGGGCGACGCTGGCTGGCCACTCTTAGGCCCGATCTTGTTGTACGGCTCGCGCTCGCCACTCTTCGCCTTGGGGCACTCCGGGTCGCCACGCCAGTGGCCGGGCTGATCGCAGTCAGCACACCGGCTGTTAGCCTTGCGCTGGTCCGTCGGCTTGCGACCAGCCTGGAAGGAGCCGCTGACGTTGATCTTCCTGGGGTCCCGCTGCCGAGGAACAACGAACCCGCGCTTCTGACGCTGTGCTGCCGTCTTCTTGGCCCTCCAACCGGCCAAGAACGCCTCTTGAAGATCCTCCGTCGCCTCGTACTCCTCGTCATCAGGCCCGTCGTTGTCCGACGCCAGCTCCTCTTCGACCTCGGCGCCGTCCTCGAAGATGACCCCCTCGCCAGCTCCGGGGTCTCCATCGTCCTGTTCATCTGCTTCATCTTCGCCATGCTGCGCCTCCTCCAGGTCGCCGTCGTGTTCATCGTAGTCTTCACCATTCTCCACCTCGTGCACATGCTGGCCAGGGCGTCCTCGAAGCACGCATGGCCTACGAGCCATAGGAGGGTGCGGATAGCGACCGCCCGAGCTCCCAGAGGAGCGCCCGTGCTCACGCTGCGCCGCCACAAACGGCGAGCGGCGAGGGAGCACCGAGCGCTTCTCGGTGTCGTGCACCTTCGAGTAAGCTGCCTTCAGCACGACCTCCATCCGCTTCGAGTCGTAGATGCCGCCGCAGTTGAAGAGCACCTGCGCTCGCTCCTTTTGCGACAGCCCAGCGCCACGGAGCATCTTGCTCGCCAGCGCGCGATCACTGATCGCTGACGTGGGGTCCTCGAGCTGCAGCTCCATGCGCTTCTTCCGAAGGTACGTCGTCCAATCAATGATGGGCTGCCCTGCTCGACGGTGTGCTCGATCCCACTCCTGATGCACCTGGTCCAGGCGCTCGTGGCCCATCTTCTCGAAGGCGTCATCGTAGATAGCGAAGATAGTCTCGAGCGTATCCTCGCGTCGAAGGTCCGACGCGTCAAGCACCTCGACGAGCTCCTTGGCCCGACCTGTCACCTGGCTGTAGATGATCAGGCCCAGTTCCACGTCAGAAAGCTGGTTGAGATTGCGGATGACCTCAACTGCCTTGCGCCACTCCCGGTACTTCTTGGTACTCGTACCGACGGCACCGTCGAACTCCGGGAGCTTCACCTGCGACAGCAGTAGACGTGTGCGTCTGGGACCGCTGTCGCCGCCGCGATCCCGATGCAAGGCCAAGAGCTCCCTCTGGGTCTCAGCCATCACGCGCAGGACCGCGTGCAGGTCTGGGGGACCTGCGCCGACGGAGGACGCAGCCTCCGCGTCTGAGCCGTCGTGGCTGGCAGCCATGGCGGCCCGCGCGGGTGGTCACAGCCACCGAAGCAGAGCACGCAGTGCGTCCGCTGGAGCTTACAAGCTCCGCTACCAATGTCAGTGCAGTTGTTTTCGCTCGGACCGCGCGGCGGTCAAACTGCGGGTGCAGTCCCAGGGCCCTAGGACTAGGGCCAAAACAGCGGCGAGCAGCGTGCATGCCACAAACATGAAAAGCATGTACATCATGCGCACACGGTGGCACGGGCGGCAGAGGGGCAGGGGAGTGCACTCTTCACAGTCTGCATACGTACACACATACACACATACATACATACATACATACATACATACATACATACATACATACATACCTGCATGCATACATACATGCATACATACATGCACACAAACCTGACTACATTCATACATACAACCATGCATACATACATACATACATACATACATACATACGTACATACATACATACATGCATGCATGCATGCATGCATACATACACATATGCAAATGGCCGAACGAATCATGTACGCACAGGTCTGTGTAAATAGAGTTCAGCGTACACAATGGTTGTCCAATGCCGCTTGAACATGAACGGACATTACCCGCTACGATACCGTAGGCACTGAGTGATGTGTCCTTCCCCAGGCCCTTGCGAGCTCGCTGTAATCATACAATGCTGTCGAACCCTTAAGGGCCACATATCTCAAATTTCTGGCGAATGTTACACCCAGAAGGGGGAACCCAGACTGGCCCATGAGCCCTCTTGTGCCAAAATGGACTCCGAATCCGCCGAGAGGCCTCGAAGAGGTTTCCAAGAGGCGCCCACGAGGCCACAGGAGGCCTTCAAGAGGAACACCAGAGGCACCCGAGAGGCACCCAAGAGGCCCAAGAGGCCTCCAAGAGGCCCCCGGGAGACCCCCAAGAGCTACACAAGAGGCCCCTGACACACAACCCAAGCACGGTGGCAGGATGGACCGAACGCCACCAGAATTGCGGCACCCGTAGCCTGCAAGGGGGGTGCTTGACGTGCCAAGATTTGTGGCTTGCTTATTTGGCACAACTGGAATGGATACTGAAATATTGGCACAATGCCTAACAACAACAACATGTCCGACATGAACCAGAAAAGCTGACACATGGACGGCACAAGCTGACAAATAAACAAGCGAAGCTGGCATCTGAGCAAGAAAAAATTGCACATGGACAAGGAATGCTGACAAATGGACAACAATTCCTGTCCCAAATGAACAAGAAGTGCTGTTGGGCATTGAACCCATTTCTTCCGCACCCATTATGGGCGTGCAAAGTCTTAGTCCTTTCAGAAGGTTCTCGGTAACCTTCGGACCAACCCGCCAGCCACCCGCAAAACGTGCATCACCCGGGCTTTCTTTTCCACGATTGCTCCAAGAGGGTGACCAAGAAGGCCATGACGACACCACATCGGCCCAAGACCGCCCCAGTGGCCTCCAAGATGGCTCAAGATGGCTCCAAGAGGGCCGAAGATGTCCCCAAGACAGCCCGAGACACCTCCCAGACGGCCCAAGAATCCACCAAGACGGCCCCATAAGGCTCCAAGAGGAGCCCATAGGAGGGCCCTAAGAGGCAACATATAATGAGTATCCTAAAGCTAGCTGTGCAATGATGTTTGTGCTATCACTTGCTCGAGCTTCCGACAGCCCAAGACGGTCAAAGGGGCCACGAAGACCGCAGCGAAACAAAGTAGAAGGCACCTGAAAAGATGGGCCACAAGACGGTCCAAAACGGCTCAGTAGAGCCCGAAGACAGCTCTAAAGCATACATCCTGAAAAGGAAACCCACTACAGCTTCAAGACGACCACAGAGGACCCCTTCCTGATGTTCCCACAGTCGTTTCCCCAACGACTGTGGAACATGCAGCCCACGGGCGTGGCAGCACTTGCGCTCGGCAGCTCGCGACACGGACGTTTTGAATAGGCAGGGGGCGGCAGTGGCCCGCCGTAGGTGCCTTCGAACTATTTGCACACCCCATGCCGACTGCCCCATATTTTGAACATGCTACCATTGTTCTGGCTTGCATCCCATATGCTAGAATTCTGCGATCCTGGGCACGCATGCGCCAGTTGAACATAGGTCTCGAAGTTACATCATGCCCATGCCATTCTCCCACTTGCCAAGGCTCTCTGTTTTTGGACCAATACTGCACGAAGGATTGGTAGCCAATCGTATCAACATGTACTGGCGAATGCTCTATGCATCAAGCACTGGCCTGCTGCCAAGGCTGAGGACCCAGCAAAGCTGGTCGTGGACGCAACAAACACGACGCATACGCAGATGACACCGATTACTGCTCCCAGCATATTGATGCTCTTCTGTAGTGGGTTGTGGTCTTTGTTGGTAGGCTTCAGCTCCTTCGCGATGAGTCCCACCTGCGAGCAGGGATGAACAATGCAGTTGCACCCAGCTCTGACGCAGGGTCCGTTGTGCTATCCTCAGGCGTACGCAGTCACTCCAACAAGCAAATGACCACAACAAGGTCCCCGAGATTCGACGGAGAATCCAAATGCCGTGGCCGCAGGCATCCGCAACAGAGTGTCTCCGAAAATCGCTGGCTCATCAGTTGCGAGGAAGACAACTACGTAGGAGGATCCAAGATACGAGACCAAGGACATCGGACCAAAGCCTTGCCTCACGCGCTAGCGTAAGAACTCCACCTGCGACGTCTGAATTTGGGCACTCTGGAGCTCAAAGAGAACGAGTTCTGCGTACAGTAAACCCGTATCATACGGATGCGCGCTAAGGATGCAAGGGCCTTGGAGGCCCATTGGAACGTTTTTCGAACGAGGTTGGCCAGCGAAAGTCGCTAAGGATGGGCCGAAGGGGCAAGGATGCAAGGGTACCCTTAGGAAGGTCGCTCATCCTTACTAGGCGGGTTGACTGTACGCTACGCTGGTAGCAAAATCCCTCCGCCTCTCCCGAAAGCGGGACACCCCACCTCCGAAAAATCCCCACCAGGACCACCCCCCATCCCCGCCCCCGGCGAGAACCCCCTCCTTCCCTGACACCCCCCTCTCATTCTCAAAATTGGGGGCGTGCAGGGGGCGGGGGTTCGAATCCCCTCCCATCTCTCGCTGCCAGCAAACGACGACGTCGTCGACGTCGACGTCGTCGACGACGACGACGACGACGACGACCACAACGACGGCAATGGCGACGATGGGCTCGACGCTCGGCGCTCGGCGCTCGCCGGTCGTGTGTTGTCAATCGTCGGACGTGGGTGGTCGGTCGTCATCGTCCTCCTTCTCCTCGTCGTCGTGGTTCGGTCGTCGGTCGCCAGTCGTCGGTCGACGGTCATCCTTCGTCCGTCGTCCGTCAACTGTCGTCGTCGTCGTCGCCGTCGACGTCGTGTCGGTCGAGCGAGAGGACACGTCGTCGTCGTCGCTCTCGTTTGCCAGCAAAACGGGGGGGGTCCCCACCCCCTGATTGTCCGCCTGAAATGTCCAATCCGACCTTAACCCCCCCCGAAAGTCAAAGGGAGGGGATCGAACCCTCATCTCGCAGCTGGCAACCGACGTCGCCGACGACGACGGCGAGTCGGTCGCTCGGGCGGGACACGTCGTCGATCGCAGTCGCCATCGCAACCGCGGTCGTCGTCGTGGCCGTGGCCGTGGCCGTGGCCGTGGCCGTGGCCGTCGCCCTCGCCGTCGCCGTCGCCGTCGTCGTCGTCGTCGTTGTCGTTGTCGTCGGCGAATCGGTCAAGCGGTCGGGCGGACGGGACACGTCGTCGTCGTCCTCCTCGCCTCCTCCTTCTCATCGTCATCATTGTCCTCGTCGTCATCGGGCTCGTCGTCTTCGTACTTTCTGGCGCTGGGGCGGGTGGGTGGGACACGTCGTCGTCGTCGTCGACGCGGTCGTCGTCGTGTTGTCGTCATCGTTTGCTGGCGCCAGAGGATGAGTAGGCGGGGTCGAATCCCCCCCGCACTCTTGGGGGGAGTTCCCACCACCATCCCATGAATTTCGCTCTGGAGAGGGGGAGGGAGGGGGAGGGTTACGATCTCCCTGACTTTTGAAGGGGGCAAGAGGGTTCGTGCTCCCCCCCCCGGACTTCATCCCAGCGTACTCATACTATGCTCTTTCAGAGCTCTCAACGCTAGCATTCGACTTCGCGCCGCGGGTCCATTTCTGTGGGCGTCCCGGGTCCCAGGTCAGGCCTCCCGAGGCCCAAACTTGGACAAGCCAGCCGGCTGGTCTGATCTTGAGAAGACGCTGCAGGTGTGAAACGGGTGAGGGGGCGGGTGCGGAGAGGTCGGCGTCGCCGCCTGCGTCCGCATACCAGTCTCGCGGACCTCCGCGACCCCGCTGCCCGACACCACGGCCGTGGAGGAGAAAACCATGTTGGTGGGAAAGGCGGCGGCGGGGTCCCTGGCCATGACCGTCTTAAGGACCTGAACGGGTGCAAACAGTACACTGGCAGGCGGCCCACGGCCAGCGCAAGGCTTGGGGCTGCGCGCCGTCCGCCCCCAGAGCTCGTTCAGACTGGCAAGCCTCAGCAGGCCGGTGCCGCGGTCCCGGGCAGCGTCGACACCCCCTCCCGCCACATCCAGCGAGCGCCGCAGTGCGCATGGGCTCATTGGTTCTTGATGCGCATTGGGGCGATCGTTTAGCATATCTGTCCAAGAACATACACACTCTCCGTACTTTGTATTGCCGCTATTCATGCCAATCGCTCTCTCCTTTCTCTCAAATTGCTCCAGGTTCTAACCTACGATCGGGCGTTCCTGCTGTGCACCTTGACGACGACGTCGGTTGTCTTCAGGGAAGTTGAAAGCCATGCTAGGCAATTTCTGAACGAGCGTGCTGATCACTTGGCCGATTGTGGTACCTGTGGGATCTGATGTTATCAACCCAGCGGGTGTTCATCGTTGGGCGAGCTCCCGCGAGTGCTGCTGCCGCTCTGCGTGCAGTGGCACGCCTGCCGCCCGCGCGAAGCAGGGCGAGGCAACGGGCCTGGGGCCGGCCCAACTGGGGCCCAGGACAACCCAAGCGAGCCCCAAAATGCCCATACAGACTGCCCCAAGAGACCCGCCAGACGGCCAAAAAAGGCCCAAGACGGTCCAACACGGGCCCAGAGCGGCCCAAGAGGGCCCCAAGACGACCCAAAAGGGCCTCAAGACGGCCCCAAGGGAGCCCAAGACAGTCCGGAGGCGGTCCAAGTATGCCTCAAGAGAGCCCCATCAAGGGATAGAGACGAAAGGCACCACCCAAGGGGTTGCGGTTGGGAATCCAGGCTCAAACGTGCACCGCGATTGCCCGATTGCCTGGAAGCAGCTGAATAAGCACTATTCTCATCAAAAACATCAACTTGCATAATGGTCCTACGCGTTGCCTCCACCTCTGGAGCGTCCAGGATGCCCTGGGAGGCACCCGGTAGAAACACTTTCTAAAGCGCCGCCCCAGGCCTCCAAGCGGGGCCCGCGAGGCCCCCGACGCCCAAAACGACTCATGGAGGAACCGAAAAGCGGAGTCTACGAGCGGGGCCCAAGAACCACGGATGTAGAGCGCGAGCAGCCGCATGGATTGATCAAAATCGCGTTCTCGCGAAGGAACAATCTTCACATGTTGGCACGGAAAGTGGCGGCACATGATTTTCAACTCTTGATGCTCGCACGAATGTCCCTCGCAATTTGATTTCGCGATAATTAAATTAGCGGCATCACGTTTTCGTTGGCGGTCAAGCAGTAATCGCCTGCACTGGCGGACGTAGCTACCTAGACGGGGGCACCGTCGTAGCGAAGTGGCCACCACGCAAGAAGAGGTGAGGACGGAAGAGCGGGCGGCCGCGGGGGAGAAAAAAAGGCGAAGGCAGCCAAGGGTGACGGGCCACGCCCAGACCAGCTGGCGACAGGCGCGGCCGGCCCCGCTGGCGGGGACTGAAGCGGCTGCTGCGGTGGGGTTCCAGCGGCGGCGGGACCCAACGCGGGTAATTACCAGAGCGAACACAGCAAGTAGACAACCAGGAAACCGCCGAGGCGCACGAAATGCCAGGCGGCGGGCCGCGCGTCGCCCATGTGGTGCGCTGAAATGCGGCAAGGGAGGAACGCGTCCAGCAAAATGCTGGGCCAGCGTGGAGTGGCGGGCGGTAAGACCAGGCCCGGGTCCCCAGCGCGGCGGCTGCAGGCGGCATTTCAGCGCCATTGCGGCGCGCGGAGGGAGGGAAAGCGGGCAGAAAGGGAAGAAACGAACACGGAAGAGGACGGGCGTCAGAGGGCGTGGTCGGCGGAGGCGGCGCTGTGGAGGGGCGGTCTGATGGTGGTGCGGGGTCGGGGGAACTGCTCGCGGCGGGGACAACTGGGGGAGCACAACCGTGCCGATACCGCTACTCCACGGACCTTTCCCGAGGTGCGTTCTGAACAAGATTTCCAGGATAATCCAGACGTGGCTACGCGCGAGGTCGATAGGTTTCCCCCCCCTGAACGGCGCGGCGGCGGACGGCGGGGACAACTGGGAGAGCGAACGGTGCCGATGCCGCTACTCCGCGCATCTCTCCCGAGGTGCTTTCTGGACAGGATTCAGGCAAATCCAGCCGTGGCAACAATTGCTTAAGCGGCATCGACACCTTTTCCCCCCTGAACGGCGCGGCGGCGGACGACGGGGACAATTGGAGGGGCAGAACGGTGCCGATATCGCTACTCCACTGACCTCATCACTAGGTGCGTTCTGGCCAGGATCTCCAGGCGAATAGAGCCGCGGCACCAAGCGATATCGATGCCCTTTTCCCCCTGAACGGCGCGGCAGCGGTGGCGGGCGACCAGGTCTGAGCGGGGCCCGCTACAGGCCAGCCTGATCTTTCAAAGTCGACGCCCGTCGGGCGAGCGAGGGATGAGCATGAGTTTTCTTCCATTTCCGCCGTCCTCTCTCCTCCCCCTCCTTCCTTGCCTTTTCCTGCTTTCCCCCTCCCCTTCCTCGACTCGGGGATGCGCGGTGAAGCCGCGCGCCGCGACCCACCCGCGACCCACCTGCGACCCACGCGTGTCCGACAATTTCGCACAATCGATGCCCCTGGAACTTCAAACCCATGAACCATATTAGGCCCCCCGGCCCAAAACGCCAAGTGCATCATAGGCCCCCCGGCCCAAAACGGCCCCGGCACCATAATTAGGCCCCCGGGCCCGAAACGCAACTTGCGTCTTAGGCCCCCGGGCCCAAAATCTCAGGGACACAAGACTATCCCGGCAAAGCAACCTAACAGCGATGTGTAGGAGCATATCTGGAAGCATTCCCCTTAAGACTCAGATGATAATCCAGTGTAGAATTCTGCTGTTCTCGCAGCCGTAGTTTATAATCGCATTCGCGATGACAGTCGCAATGGCAACGGCAATCGCAGTCACAGCCTCAGCCTCAGCCTGCCTCAACATCAGCCTCAGTCTGCCTTCACCCTCGGCCTCAGCCTCAGCCTGCCTCAGCCTCAGCCTCAGCCTGCATCAGCCTCAGCCTCAGCCTCAGCCTGCCTCAGCATCAGCCTGCCTCAGCCTCAAGCCTCAGCCTGCCTCAGCCTCAGCCTCAGCCTGCTTCAGCCTCAGCCTCAGTCTGCCTCCAGCCTCGGCCTCAGCCTCAGCCTGCCTCAGCCTCAGCCTGCCTCAGCCTCAGCATCAGCCTGCCTCAGCATTCAAAATGTGGCCCGGGAATGGAGTTCTGGGAACTCGAAACCACCACGAAGTGGCCTACAGTTTGCTCCGGGCATTCAAACTCATGCCCAGGAATGGAATTCTGGGAACTCGAAGACCACGAAGTGGCCTGCAGTTGGCTCCGGGCATTCAAAATCGTGCCCAGGAATGAAGTTCTGGGAACTCGAAGACCACGAAATGGCCTACAGTTGGCTCCGGGTATTCAAAATTATGCCCAGGAATGGAGCTCTGGGAACTCGAAGAACACGAAGTGGCCTACAGTTGGCTCCGGGCAGTCAAACTCATGCCCAGGAATGGAGTTCTGGGAACTCGAAGACAACGAAATGCGTTACTGTTGGCTAAAAAAAAAAGTCCCCGGATCCCGTCCGGCATCTGCCCAGACCCCCTTCTGGGGAGTCATGATGCTTTCTTTTGACCCTACTAGAAACCTATCAGTCTTCGCTGTTGGGTAAAATACTCCTTCGGGTGGCGGCCGAGGTCTCGCACTTGCTGCGTGAGCTCCTCGGTCTTGTCTCGCTTTTGCTGCATGAGCTCCTCGGTCTGCTGCTTCCGCTTGAGCTCCTCGGTCTCCGTCTGCTGATCAGCGCAGCCCAGGGCCCGCAGTTCATGCAAAATGCCTTCGGGGATGCGGTCGCGATGGTCCGAGAAACGTTTGGCCAACTTGTTTTCGGCCCGTTCTTGTTCGGACGTTCCTTTATTTCGCTTCGGTATCCGGCCGAAGTGCTTCACGTGCTCGACGAGCGTTTGCAGAGGACCGCTCAATGCAGCACGCTGAGGAGCAGCGCTGTTCCCTGCCGCAGGCTGAAGAGCACCGCCGTTCAATGCAGCAGGGTCAGGAGCACCGCCGCCAGACCGAGAACTACCAGCATGTCCTGGCATTAAGGCGCGCAGTAGGCGCTGCGCAGTTCCTTTGAAAAAGGGAATCTTCGAAAGCAGGGATGTAGCCAAGAAAGCTTCGGGGAGGCTGATGAAGATGATGAGTCTGTGACGCTGTGAGACCACAGACGCTTGATGATGACGATCTTGAGAGCGCTGCTTCGAGGAGGGAAAGAAAGAATGAGAAAGAGATGAGAGAGGGAGAGAGAGAGAGAGAGAGAGAGAGAGAGAGAGAGAGAGAGATCGGACAAGTAGGCGGACCAGGGTCCGTCCGCGAGGCGCACTGCGGTGCGACAACTCGCCAAACACTATTTGCGGCGGTGCAGCCTTAAGATACGAGGGCGGGCAACAAAACCCCCTCCCCCGGCGCAATGCGACAGACGCTACAGACGGCGGACAGACGGTGAAGATCTCACATGTCAGACCGCGTGAAGAAAGAGGCCCCAACAAGGAAGGCGACGTGCTGACACGTGGCTAGGCGGCTTGGCAGACCGCCAGTTGGGCGCTTGGCCGCAAAGCGGCGCGCAGGGACGGGGCACCCCCCGCCCCCACGCCCTGACACCGTGGACGCGGAGCCACGCGTACACACGGGCAGGCAGAAAGGAGGAAATTAGCGCGGGGCACCAGGTGGAGCGCCGCGGAGCGATGACAGCATAGCTTGGATGGTGAGTGGCGGCGCAGCACCATCGGGCGAGGGCGTAAGCAGCTCGGCGAAGGCACGCCCGGCGCGGTGGAGGCGCTGGAGCAGAGGGCCTTGACGGGCTTGAGCAGCGGCAAGGTCGGCGGCGAGAGCAGCACACCTCTGCTGAAGAGCGACCATAGCCTGGGACAGCTCGGTTTCGCGGTCGGTGAGGGGCGGCTGCTCAGTGCCAGCGGCCGCGGGC